TATCATGAGGAGATTGAGGAGTAGGAGAATGCGGTGGAGTAGTAGCATTTTCATTTCCTTCTTGGCTAGAGTCTCCTTCTTGAAAAGGAAAAATCACGTATTCTTCATTTTTCGGAACATTCCAATCCTAGGAGCTTCTTTCGTCGAATTCCGTATCTCTACAACTAACAATCTTCCCATTGCAAGGATTGTAAAACTTGTAGCCCTTGGTAGGGCTGGACATGGTTTGGTTTTGTTCGACTGAACCAAAAATTTCGGGTATCTAGTAAATGGAATAGTCGGATCCAAATATAATTATCGAACAGTTCAGGTTCGGTTTCGTTCGATTCGGTTCTGTACCATAATTTTTTTTAAACATTTACAGCAATACTACTTAAATACAACTAATGACATGTTCATTCTTAGTTTCGATGGGCAGTTAAAGAGGAAAAGTCGGACTTGACAGTTGACAGCTTCGATTTGGGCATGTAGATGTATGTTTTCAATTTATCAAATGATTTAGGTTTAGTGGACTATGCTTATCGGATGAAAGTATGAAATTGGAAAGGAAATAATAAAAACTTAAACATATCTAGATCTTGGGCTAGCAATCAAATTAATAATTAGGCCAAAACGTTAGAACAAAAAATTGAATTTAAAAATTGGGTTGGGCTGAGCTGGGTTAGCTAGGCATGGAATTGGCTTGAGAGTTGGAGCATTAGTCACTAAATTAGTTAATTTGTTTAGAAAAAATTAAAATAATTTAATTAATTCAATATAAAAAATTATTTAGATTCGATTCTTATTCGGTTCCTCGGTTCTTTGGTTGGAATCGAGAACCGAACCAAACCCATAGGTTTTCGATTCAAATACTCGTTCGGGTATTTAACTTATGAAAAACCACTCGTTTCGGTTTAGTTCAGTTCGGGTTTGGTTTGATCCGGTTTGATTCGAGAGTTTTGTCTAGCCCTAGCCTTTGAAGCTTGAATCATAGTCGATGAAAACAAACTTCACACTTTTTTCATCAAATTTTAATATCTTCTCATATGGCACATGAATATAGGCAATATTACCAAAAATACATAAATGAGAAACACTAGGCTTCTTACCGCTCGAAGCTTCTTGTGGAGTTATATTGTGAACACTCCTTGATGGGGAAAGATTAGACAAATACACGGCACATGCAACAGTTTCGGCCTGAAACTCCTTTTGCATACTTTTGCTCTTAAGCATACTACGAACTATGTTGAGGATGGTTCTATTCTCCCGCTCCACGACACCATTTTATTGCGGTGATATTGGAACTATAAGGAAATGTCGGATTCTATTGGTCTCACAAAAATTGTTAAACTCCTTAGAAGTGAATTCTCCACCTAGATCGGTCCTTAAAGCTTTGATGGATTTTCCCCTCTCAATTTAAACAAAAGCTTTGAACTTTTTGAATGCTCCAAAAACTTCATCTTTCGTCTTCAAAAAATAAACCCAGGTCTTGCGAGAAAAATCATCAATGAATAGCAAGAAATAATTTGCTTTACCATGAGAGGGTGGTTTGATTCGCCCGCATACATCCGCATGAACAAGTTGGAGTAGCTTTGTTGCTCTTGAGGTGGATTCCTTTGGAAAACTTCTTCTAGCTTACTTGCCAACGAGACATCCTTCACAAAGGTGATTGGAATGATTTATTTTTGGCAACCTACTCACCATTTCTTCATTTGTCAAGGTCTTTAAGCCACCAAAATTCAAATGGCCAATTCTTAATTGCTAAAGCCAAGAATTGTCTTCAACACAAGTCTTAAACACCTTGGATGATCAGCATTAACATTGAGTAAAAACATTCTATTATTCTCCATTGGTACATTTACAACCAGATTATGAGAAATATCTCTCAAAGTAAGGCAATGATTCTTCAAGTCAATATCATAGCTCATCTCAAGTAATTGTCCCAAACTCAAAATATTAGACTTCAAAATAGGTACATAATAAACTTTAGAAATCAAAAGACGACTTCCATTTTTAGCACGAATAAGAACATCACGTTTGCCTTTTATTGGAAATTTGGTTTCATCTCCAAAAATAATGTTGCCTTTCAGTGACTCATTTATCTCAAAAGGGACCATCTCCTTACTTGTGAAGTGGACAGTACATGCCCTTAGCAACAAAAGTTGTTAAGGAAGCCTCAACATGGGCGAACTACTCAACACCATGCTCAAGGAAATAAATAAAAGGCATGCAAACTACCAGCACTTGCGCAAATTGCAAATAAACAAGTCTCGGATAAGATCATACACAAATGCATCAAATAAACTCTAGTGTCAAGTTAGAAAGGTAAACGACCTTCTAACACTTGTAAAAAATTACAAATTTAAATAACGAATTGCAAACTAAATAGGCTGAAGAGCATTGCAAAATAATAAAGTAAGTAGTAAAGTTAGCAGAAAGTAGAGAAAGTAAATAAAACATAAGTATATAGACAAGAAAAACATTTATTCATTTAATAAATATTACAATAGTGGGCCAAAGCCATTTACATGGAAAATGTAATAAAAAAAACCTATCAGCTAAACATGGTGGGAGAAGAGAAGCTCCAAAGGGAACTATAAGATTGTGAGCCACAACTTCAGAAGTTTCTTTAGGAGCATCATCCTCAAACTTGATCACGTGGCTACCCTCTGCTGGAGTTTGAGGCTCTTTTTCTCCCTCTTCCGGAAATTCTAACCTGAACTCAGAGGTATTGATGGCTTAAGAGTTAACTTCAATCTATTCTACCATCTCGATGTAAGCATACCTCCACCAGTACTTTGCAGAGCTTTGGTACGCCACCATTAGATGGAAGTTAGCAATGTAGTGCTTTACAACATCATCACCAACAGATTGAGCTTCCTGTCTCCTCGTCTCAACCTTCTCTGTCAAGCCACAAACTTTAACATTCAACTTTCCTACCTGCTACCTCAAGGTAGCATTTTCTTTATTTGCCTTCTCCAAGGCCTTAGCAGCCAGCATTTGGTGGACGTTAGAAGTCTCCACCTGCTTCATCATGGGAGTCACTTCACTTTGGGATAAGTAGACTTCCTTCTTCAAATTTTCAATCTTCGGTAATGTCGAAGTGAGCTTCACAGACTCCTCAGCCTGCTACTTCCTTATTACTTTTGCCTCAGCTTTGGCATTGTTGGCTACCTCATCGTCCTGAGAGGATTTATTTGCAAACCTTCTATTTTTATTTTGAAGATTTTTAAAGAGGCTTCAGCCTCTATGGCCACTTCAAAAGCCCTCCCAGTTTGGCTGACCATAGTGGTGAAGAGGTCTATCGCGTCGCTGGTCTCCACAAAGCTCTACCACTTATCCTGAACTTGTAAAATGTAGATGTGGTAGTTTGAATCTCTCGAGGAAGCATGGTCAGAACCTTTAAAGCCAGTTCATTGCTTGTGAGACTACAAGTTTGTTTGTGGGCCGAGTGACTCAAAGTTTTGGCCCTCTTTGATGACCCCTGCCTTGAAGGCTCCATAGAGTTGACCTCTTCTGGCCCTCCTTCGTCACAGTTATTGAAGCTGCCATCAGTTTTTTCCCTGCAAAGACTTTAGAGTGAGAGGGCGGGGTGGCCATTGACCAATCATATTTGGTGGTGAAGAAGTGATGTTTCTTTTTGTGGACCTCATCAACTATAGTTTTGCCCTTATCCTTCACAAGAGGTTGTTGTTCTCCCTCTTAACTACTAGCCACTCGATTGATCTTCTCAACTTGGTCCCTCACATGTTTTGCTGCAACAAATAAGGGCATTAGTCCTTTCCTCCTTGCAATAGAGGTAGCAGCAAGGATCGTGACCATGTCGAGGGTGGGATGCCTCATATGTTCAATGTTTTCTACAAAATGAGAAACAAGGTCAGTAGCAGTTTATACAAAACAACAAACAACTTGTTGAAAATTGGCATTACCTCTTCCGACCATTAAACAGAATTCCTCAAAGAACCATTTTGAGTTGATTAATCGATTAAACTCTCGCGACGGTGAAGGACATTGGTAGATGTCCTCAACAACTTCCAATTCATTTCGACTAAGCTCGAAGCACTCTCCTGACCTTGGAAAACATCAGAAAAATGGTATGATTAGAATCATCATTAATTAACATCAAATACAATTAAAACACTCACGAGCTTCTAAGTAAGAGGTCGTAACTGCCATGTGGAGAGTTGGGTCACCCTCCCACTCCTACCATTTCCCCCTCACCGAGAACTACGTCTCCTTTCATCCTTTGATGGAGGAGAAAATACCTAAGACGAAAGGAAAATGTGACCGCCACGAATATAATGAGTACCAACCCTTAGGATCCCTTTTCCCAAGACCCAGGGTTGGAAGATGGTCTAGACGAAGTGGAGAGGCATGTCCTCTCCAAGTGAGGTCTCCTTCCACAGAAAGTAGGTTCCCACTAATTGGGTCCAAGCATTGAGGACGAGTTAGGTGGGAGCCAACCC